GCCTATTTGGCACACACTTCTTAATTCTCTCAAAGCCTACAATATTAATTTAACCTTTTACAAAGTCCAAGCCCACAAGTAACAAGAGTGGAAAATCCTCAAGAAGTTATAGATGAACGTTCCGGAACCAATATGTTAAAGTTTCGTAGTATAGTCGATGTCTTATTATGGAGATGTCAAGCGTCGCCAGAAGAAGAAGCTTACAAAACAATAGATAAAACCGGAAAAGAAATTAAAGCTCTTACATGGAAAAAACTATCAAACAAAATTGCCACAATAGCAAATTATTTACAGAAAAAAGGTTGCAAAGCAGGTGATCATGCAGTATTAATATTTCAGCACGGATTAGATTTCCTTGCCAGCGTTTATGCATGTATGATACTTGGTATTGTGGCAATACCTATGAATAAAATAGAGAATGAAAGAATTAATGAAGATATTCCTTCGTTATGCGGAATAATTGATGATTTTAAAGTTTCGTATATTTTGGTTAATGCGGAATCAGAATCCATATTTAAAGGAAGGACAATACAAAATCTTCTTAAAGGGAACGCACAAAGTAAATCTTCAAGTGGATCAACAGGCAGTAGTGCAGGATCAGTTAATGGTTTACCACCATTAATTAATGTATCAAAGGCACCAGCGTTTAAAAAAACATTGAAAGAAGCTAATTATTCAATGCAAGAAGACTGGTTAAATCAAAATTGGGCAGCGATAGTGATGTGTTATTTTAGTGCAGATCAACGAAGATATTGTGTTAGATTTGGACATGATAATTTGTTGTCACTGTGTAAAGTACAAAAAGAAACCTGTCGATTAACCAGCAATCGAGCCTTATTAAGTAGTGTTAGGAGTTTTATGGGAATTGGTTTTGTTCATACATTCCTGATAGGAATATATCTTGGTATGATTTTTTACCATCTACCGTATACTTCCGAAATTAAGCACCCCGGCCTGCGCTATACCAACTTTGGCCTGCATTGTAATGATCTTGGCCAGCGTTACATGCAAAAAAGGGATGCTTAATTTCGGAAGTACCGTATTGTCGTGAAATAACGCGCAGGGGTGAATTACAAATTTCGGTCTAAATTAAGCTTAATTCGGGCCAAACCTCTATATAACGCCCATGCCCGTTATTTCGCGACAATACGGTATACGGTATTTAATTTTTATCTTACACTATTATTCTAAAATCAATATACTCTTTATTTTTAGGGACACTAACGATTATGATTACCCCATACGATTTTTCATCGAATCCACTAATATGGTTTGAAACTTTATCTCAATATAAAAGTAAGAATTTGTGTCATATTGTATACTATTTAATTAAATAATATGTAACTTTTTATTAATTAATATCTTTGTACTACGACAAACTGAATAGTTAAAGACACATACGCCACATTTCCAATGTTACAACATGCGATGACAGCATTTGAAAATCTTGATTATAGAAGTTTTTCGCTCCAACATTTAAAAAATCTTATGATACCTATTGAAACTAGACCAGATCCCAATTTATGTAAGTTATTAATCATTTATATTGAGAAAATTGACGATATTATTACGTAATTTCTAAAAAAAATTTCAACATCATGTCTTACAAAAAAAAAAGTCAAAAAAATAGTCAAAACATTTTCAGAAAATCGGTTGGATAGCATAGTTGTAAACTACGTATACAGTCATATAGCCAATCCGATGATAACAGCAAGATCATATATGTGCATTGAACCCGTTGAATTATATTTGGATTTAAAAAGTTTAAGACGAGGAATTGTTAAAATTGTTAATCCTGATGAACCTTTTGGAATCTTGTTACACGACAGTGGAATCGTATGTATCTTACTTTTATGCAGCTAGTTTTATGTTATTCACTAATATTTTCGAATATTTGATAATGTTAGGTTCCAGTATCAACCCAAGTAGCGATAGTTCATCCTGAAACACGGCGTCCGTGCCATACTAATGAACTTGGTGAAATTTGGATATCATCAGATGCCAATGCAAAATCATCTTATGGTTCAAGTGATCCTTTAGAACGAGCCAAATTTTCTGCGACTATCGAAGGCGGAGTTGACCAAAGACTATATTTAAGAACGGGAGATTTGGGATTTTTGCACACAGTCCGTAGGCCTGTTAGAGATAATGGTGCATTGGTGGAATTTCAATGCCTGTTCGTTTTAGGACCAATTGCAGAAACTTTTGAAGTTAATGGACTAATGCATTTCCCTATTGATATTGAGTTTACTGTTGAACGGTGTCATAGTTTGAGTTCTCCTGGTTTGATTCCACCCCATGGATGGTATGTTATATGTATATTTAAGAATCATACTAATATATGTGTTTTAATATATATTACCTCATAATTTAACATTTTTTATCATTTGCAAGCGTGGTATTCCAAGCTAATGGCGATACAGTTTGTACAGTTGAAGTTCGATCCGTTGAAGGAATTTTGAATTTGGTTCCTTGTATAATAAGTTCTATATTGGATGAACATCAATTCATCATAGATGTAATAGTATTTATTAGTAATGGTACCTTACCTAAATCACGGTTAGGAGAAAAGCAACGAGCAAAAGTTATGGATGGCTGGTTACGCGGAACTCTGTATGTATTGTTCAAATTTACTTTTATTGTGATTATTTTTAATACATTGATATTTAATGACACAATGTTATTATATTTAGACAAGCACTTCATGTTCATTATGTAAAGCCATTAAAGGCCCGACCAAAAATTATTCCCAAATTTCCACAATCAAAATCATCTAATTCATAATCTATCATTTGATCATCATCAATAATATGAACAATTTCAAACCTCAATAATAATATTAAACTATAGTTGTTATCATAGTTGTTTATTCGATTAATTTTATTGTATTTTATGAATTTTCCTTTTTTATACTATCTGTATCTCTTATGTGATTCTATTATATCTTAAATAAATCTAAATATTACCTCATCTTAATACGATATATTCCAGCACAGGATCAATTTATGTTCAATATTGACGAATTTACTGATTCCCCATTTACATGTTACATTTTTTTTAAAATGCGACATCTTAGGGTTAATGATAGGGTTAATGGGCAGTAATATAAAAAATTTTGCAATGAATCCTCTTTGCTGATGTTTGCTATTGTGCAAGTGATTTCCTAGAACAAATGTAATCTTGATCAGATGACTATTTTACTGACCTGGTTTAAAAATTCAAAATTTTGCAGTAATACATTTGGGTCAGGGGAATCATCATTATCGACCTGAAAAAAATATCAACATGTATTTTAAAGAAGAGAATTATCTGATTAGTCAGTAAAATTTATGATTAGTACAGGGTACAATGCCGTACGTGTTCGTACGTACAGTGCAAACCTGAACTGTTATTTATCATATAAATACTAAGGTTTGTTATTTATTATTTCATTAACCTGCTACTTAGAATTTTCTTTATCACTTAAGATTGATACGCAGTTGTGCACGTGCGCATATATATTTCGCGCGAGTCTAAATCTTTTCATCTGTTGTAGTTGGATATTAGTTCCAAAAGTGTTGTAGGCTTAAGAATGATAAAAGTTATGAATACATAATTCATATTATTAAAGTTAATATTTTTACCTTATTGATGAATAATCTTTTTTTCTTTAGAACATGAAAAGTATTTCCAATATAGTACGAAATGAAAAAGAAAAATTTCAACACAATAAATCTAAGTTCGGCGTAAGTATTTAGTAATTTGTAAAAATTTTACTTGATTCAAAATTTATGGGCGTTATTTTTTGCTCATAATCTCGCAATTAATCCTGATTTATCTCTCTATAACACTCTAAAAAGTAATTTACCTTTAATATTTAACTTATACTCTACAAAGTTCTTATATATTTCAATAACTAATTTAACAGTATAGCAACTATTTCTATATACAGTCTTCCCCCTTTATAGTCACCCCCTATATAAGCACATCATATAAAAACCTCTTTATAAGCACATTTAT